CTGCACCGTTCACCAACGCTACGCGACACCTCACCAAAGGGCCGAGACACGCGAAGTCGGCGGGACCGGTAGCTCTTCGATATTTAAGTCGGTAGACGGGAAGGGTTCGTCGGAAGTCGGGAACGACCGGGAAAACACAAGAATGACGAGGCGCGTTTCGATTATCTTTAGTTTTATTATTTCGGGGATCGGAACGGTCCGACCCCTCGATACGATACACTCCGCTTTGCCCTCGCGAATTCGGGATTTTGCGCTACGCCGATAACTTGGACGAGACTCTTTACTGTCACGACACCGAAATAATAACGCAGGTGGAAGGTCTTACAAACTCGGGAACCTCCCGGCGACGTGGTCCTCCTCTCTTCTCCCTCTCACGCTCGCTCTGGCACAACGCTGCCACTGACGTGCCCTTCTAGGCGAGGGGTACGTCCGGAGCCCTCCACTCGCTGACGCCAAACTTCCCCAATCTCCTGGCTTTTACGGCAGTCGGTATCCCTCCGGTAATACTCGGAAGCAGGTCGGCGATATTAGAGAGCGCGACAATGGGAGTCTCCTCTTTTTATTTCCTTCTCCCCACAGGCTTTCTTGCCGTTGGTGTTGTCTCGTGCTACCCGTCTCTCCCCGTTCCTCGGTAAATCTCCCTGTCCGGGAATCCTTCCGCGGATCTTTGTTTTTCGATCCGCGGGACGGCTGCTCGGTCTGACTCTCTTGCCCGTTCTCTATCTCTCTCTTGCTCACGCTCGCCCGGTCTCCGTGTTTAGGCTGGCTTTGTCTAGCCGGCGTTCACGCGCCAAGCACGGGAACGCCGACCGTTCGGCGCGATATCCTTGCAGGCCTGTGGACAACGGAAGCGGCTGCGAGAACCTTTCACAACGATACGGAACCGATAATAGTAATGCAACAAGATTGCGTTCACCTGGGGTGGCGGTCCAGCTGAGAGCGTTGTCCTATTCTCTCCTCCACATGTCCCTTTGGTCCCGATGGGCGGCGCGGGAGGTCCAGGGGCACATAGCTCGGGGACGCGGGACCGTTCCACCTGCACGCTTCGCTTACTGACTCTAATTATCAAGGGGGGGAGAGTGCAAGGCGACACCCCCCCCCGAAAGTCTCGCCTAAGGGCCGAAAGGTCGGCCTGGGACGGGCGCCTTTCCGGCTGCCACGTCACAGTACAAAGGCAGGTGGTAGTGCAGTCAACTCGGCATCATCATCTGTTAGTCGCCATATTGAGCAGTTTCTGTTTACCAGTGACTTGAAAAGGTGTTTTGCAGTGTTTTGTATATTTAAGTGCCCAAAAAAGAGTATTTCAGTGTTATATAGGAAGAAAGAAGGACCAACGAAGGACAAAGAGCGTGTGGCGTATATTCATAATCATAATATTGACATTTACTTAAGTATTTATGTATATATATGTGTCATTGTGTCTGTGCATGTATTATAAGCTGTATGTGTATGATGCATGGTAGTTTTATGCATCAAATTTTTTTAACCACACCAGATACATGACACAGCAAAAATATATTTGACAGTCCGCAGTCTGCAAGTAGGACGGGAAAAATATGATGCATTAAACTTTCTTGTAATTAATTTTACTTTTATTGTAAAAAATATAACTGTTTAAAATAATATTTGTAAACATGGCAATAAAAAAATACAAAGTAAAAGTTGTAGTAAATATATGTAGTTTTATATTTATATTGTGTTTCTAAATATGCATATTGAGTTGTGTAGTTGTATATAGTTGTATGCCGCTGATATCTATAATTTTGTATTTTCTATACAATTATTTTATAAAATTATACAGACATAAAAATTCTATCATTTCATTTTACCTAATAATTTTGAAATTATACATATTACACAACTCAATATGCATATATATAATCTTGTACAAATGTGAACGTAGAAAAAGAAATATTTTAAATAAGTATTTTACAAAACTTTATTTTTATGTCTACTCATACGTGCTAATTAATAGGGCAAAATAATGATTAATTAGCATGTATAAGTAGACATAAAAATAAAGTTTTGTAAAATACTTATTAAAAATATTTCTTTTTCTGTGTTCACATTTGCACAAAACAGTATATACAGGGTGGCCCATTTAACCTGACAAATCGTAATATCTGGAAAACTACATGTCGGATCAAAAAAGTGGGTAATGAAATTTGTTCGTCTCGAAGGGGGACATCCATGATATCAAACTCGACCTCCTACCCCTCTCCCGGGGAGTGGGGGTGGGGGGCAACTTTGAAATCTTAAATGGGAACCCCCATTTTTTTTATTGCAGATTCGGATTCTACTCCACGTGCGTAAGTTTCGTCCGAAACTTTTTTTTTTATTCGTGATAGATGGCGCTGTAATCGCAAAAAATTAGATTTTCTGCAATTCTCCAGAATTCTTTTTAGCAACATTTTATGTCATTGCTAGAAGTTTTCCGTGCGGTCTTGAAATATTTCTTCCCTAATTGTGGGCAGTGCGTTGCGAGAAAGATATGAAGATCAAGACGGAAGAGATTTTGGCTTACCGATAAGATCTGCTGCTCGCCTCGTGCTTCCTCTTGTGGCGCGTACGCATCGGTGGTGCGACAAAGACGGAGAGCGATTGATCGTCTATGCTTGTCTAACTTATTATCTCTTGTAAGGGGAAGTAGAGTGAGCAAGAACCGTGCACGCTTTGCTGTTACCGTTAGGACGGATGTAGTGTGCACACATTTTCTCAGGGGGCGCGTCGGAATTCGGCAGAAAAAGCGGCCCGGCGTAATCGGCCCGTGGCCGCTTTCAGGTTTCTCTCTGTTTTGTATTAGGTCTGTTTTTTTTCGAAAGACTTTTAAATTAGAGCAAGTTGAAGTGAAACAGATATATTCTCTCTCGTTCTAACTTATTGCACTAGTGTGCACTAGTTCAAAAATTCTTCGAAAAAAATTTCTTTGAAAACAAATCTATTCTTATTGGCCATTGTCAAGTTCCATCACCGCAGCAACCGTAGGAGAGTTCTCTGATTGATTAATATCGCAATATTATCTCCCTAACATAACCAATCACGATACGATCCACCTTCGATTGCAACGTGATCGAACGAGAGCAACTTGCAATCTTCGAACCAGAGAGAAGAATGAGAGCGGCCACCGGCCGTATTTCGGGGGATACGGAAAGGCGCATTTTAGATACGCCATCTGACCAAAATGCGCTTAAACTACGTCCGCTAGGCGCACTTTCGTACGCACCGTGGAACCTCCTTGCTTTCACTGCAATATTTTTCATATTTTTAATCTTATATGTAGAAATTTATATACATTCTTTACAAACATCACATTAAACAAACGCTCAAAACAAAAATCCTGTAATCTTAAAGAAACAGGATATTAATCTAAAAAATAGAAACGATCAGAAATAACCGCTCGGTACTTCTAATATTAACGAATTATATTCCGGTTAAAATAATATAAATCGTATAATATATTCCGGTTAATATAATATAAGTCGTATAATATATTCCGGTTAATATAATATAAGTCGTGAAACTGGACCTAAGTAAGACTTACGTTTAAGCGAATGTTCTCTTGAAACTGAAAACATGAATAATAATAATAATGATAATTATATTTCTATTTATCTTTTTTTCTATACTATCTAACTATCTATCTATCTATTTCTCTATATCTATCTATCCATCTATCTATTTATCTATCTATCCATCTATCTGTCTATCTATTTATCCATCTATATCTATCTCTATATCTATCTATCTATCTATTTATCTATCTATCTTTTTTCTTCCTATGTATCGTTGCAACCTATCCTGTTCTATTCATATTTCTTGCAAATGCAAACAATTAATATTACATTAATTTTTATATTAAAATATATTTTTTATACTTTTATAACATGCTGAATTAATAATTAATAAAATTCAACAGGTTATACTATAAAAACAAACACTTACGTAAAAAGATTATTATATTATTAAAAAGTTTGCATTTATTTTTTGACGGAGATCACCATTTTCTCGCGGTTTCCGTTGAGCAACAATATGCACGTTATCTATTCGTAAAATTAAATAATAAAGTAATTGAAATATGATAATAAAACTAATTTCTTCTTTTACTAGACTAAATTTATTTTTGCTACGAAAAGAAAAATGTAACAATGGAATATCTTTTACAAAACAAATAACATTTCATTTAATTTTTAATTTAAATTTATTAGCATAAATAAATTATTCTGTCATATACTTTAATAACAAATCATTTTTAAAAGATGTATATATTGGCTAAGAGTGGATTTCTATTAACTTTTCGTCTCTCGTTATAATTCTCTCTTCTTTATTTGTGCATTAATACTAAATATTCTTTATATACATATACACTATATATGTGTCATTTATTTATATATATATTGTCATGTAATTAATATATTTAATCAAGCCGTAAGAACACGAGAAGAGAGGAAGAGCGAGCGAGTGCGCGAGAGAGAGGAAGAACGAGCGAGAGAGAGAAAGAGCGAGGTATAGGAGTAGCGAGAAAAATCTCGCGGCTCACGCAGTCAATAAGCTAGACGAGCGGGAAAGAAACAGATAATATGTCGACGCTCGTCTAGTCTCCCATGTGCTACCTCGCGTGCGTGAAAAATAATTCCTCGCTTCGCACGTTCCCTTGACACGAGACGCTACCGCGTCTTTTGATGTCTCTGGAGCGTGAAAGATGAAAGAAAAACGGAGAGATGTTCGCTTAGCGATAAGATCGCCGCTACCTCACCTCGTGTTTACTGCCGCGCGCCGCTCAGTAGTGAGACAAAGACAGAACGATTGTCTGTCGTCTGTCTTTTTCTAATCTACTATCCATTGCATGGAAGTAGTACGGACACGAACCTAGGCGCATTTTACTTTTATCACCGTGAAAGTGCGCCTAGCGGACGTAGTTTAAGCGCATTTTGGTCAGATGGCGTATCTAAAATGCGCCTTGCTGTATCCTCCGAAATACGGCCGGTGGCCGCTCTCATTCTTCTCTCTGCTATCAGTCTATATCACCTCGTCGGTGCTCATACGCTACTGCTGACGTAGTACGCCGGTGGTACGAAACTTTTGTTTTAAGTGTTGAGTAGAAAATTGTATCTAACTTATTTAAATTTGTTACTTATAGAAAAGTTGGATGCTTACAATTACTTCCCAATTATTTAGCAAGAATGGGTATGTATCGCAAGATTTTTACAAGTTGTATGAAGAACATATGTATTACTTAGGTATCATACAAGTCTTGATAAAAGCGTACAACAATGTAGAAAGGCAGTATCTTATTTATATTGTACATTTCAATAGTTTTTCTTTGAATTTTTCTATTCTGACACCAACATTATAATTGCAGCTGTAAACAGTGGAATTTCGTTTATACTTTCATCAATATTGACAGTACTTATATTTTCTGGAATGCAAATATACAAAACATGGCTTAGTTCATCACAGTTGGGAACTGTTTTGGGAGGATATATTGGATCCTTGTTATTTATATGTACTCTAACTGCCATGGGAAATCTGGAAACCACTTTATTTGGAAAGTCATTTCAGCAGAAATTATTCCCAGAAGGTATACATAAAAACAACATTCTTACATATTTTTACATGTTTCGGTCATATTTTAATATCATAAATTTTCTAGCAAATAACATAGAAAAAATTTACAGAAGGCAAGTATATTATATAGGAAATTAATGCACTTTTAATCTGTTACAGTGATCTTTTCGTTGATATTAAGTCTGATTGCTTCTGCCTTGATTCATCGTGTAGCTACAACAACTTGTTTTATATTTTCTATGATTGCTCTCTATTATGTGAATCGGATTTCCCAAGAGACATATAACATGCCTGTACAGAATCCAGTAACAGTGCAATTAAAGAAACGCAAATAAGTATAGGAATGTTTGTAATCTTTTTACTATTATATGAAATAATGTCTTAAGCTTCCAATTTATAATTTTTATATTTCTTGTAAAAACTTGCAATATTTCTCTAGAATAAGAGTGATAACTTGGAAACTGTCTTGAAAATATATTAAATTCCAATTACGCTAATTGTCATTAGCAGAGCTGATATTAATTTTTAACAGGAGAGTGAAATATGTTTCTATTTAATGAAATATATTCAATTTAATATAAATCAGTTATGATTAATTTAATATTATTAATTCGCCATTTAATTATAGCAAATTAATAAATGATATTTACATTGCAATGCTGTAATAAACACTATAGATGGAAATATGAAAATATATTTAGATACAAATATTTATGATAATTGAGGCTTTTGTTTTCCTTTTCTCCTATGCTTTTCCGCTTCTTCTTTATCACTAAAATATTCATAAACTTCGTCAGATTTTTGCACTTGAACTGAAGTATCAGAATCATAATCACCCGTCACTTGGTTGACTTGTTCTTTATTGGTACTATGTTCCGGCATTACTTGTTTATAAATTGCCATAGCCTATAAACGACAAAGCATTGATTAAATTTGTTATAATGTATTATAGTATGTATTAATTTAATTATTGTTGCTACATGCAGACTTCAATCAGCAGCTTATCAAGTGACAAACCTGTGCAACAAACGTTGATACATCTCCCACATTGCTTGGTAATATTAATGTGTTATTAACTTGTGCTAATTTCTTGAATGCATTAACATATTGCTCTGCCACATTAAGCGCAGCCGCATTTTTTGCGTCCGACGTGCCGAGAGCATTCGCCACAACTTGCAATCCCTTTGCTCGCGCCTCCGCCACTGCCACTACTGCTGCAGCTTCTCCAGTGGCCTTATTTATTTGTTCTTGCCTTGCAGCTTCTACAAACATTACATATTTGTTTAGATTAAAATACATAAATTATGGAAAAACATATAAAACTTTTATAAGCTTATTGACCAAAAATGATATGCCCATAGGCAGTACCTGAAGCTAAAATTCGTGCTAGCCGTTTGCCTTCAGCCACATTGATTTCAGCCTCTCTAATACCTTCAGATTCCAATATAGCGGCACGTTTTTTACGTTCAGCTTCTACCTGCATTTGCATTGCCTCTTGAACTCTTTGTGGTAATCTTATATCACCTAATATACAAGAGCACATGTCATTAAAGATTGTATCGTATATCATAATGAATATTAAATACTTTTGTAACTTATGTATTTCATATACTTACGTATTTCATATCGCAAACATGTTAGACCCCATGCTCCACTGGCCTTATTGATACTGTCAACTATAGAAACATTTAATCCCTCCCTTTCCCTAAAAACTTTATCTAATGATATCTTTCCTAATTCAGATCTCATTGTAGTTTGGGCTACTTGGATTATAGCAAATTCTGCATCTTCAACACCATAAGAAGCTAAATAAGGATCTGTTACTCTCAAGTATAATACTGCGTCAATACTTAGAGTCACGTTGTCTAGAAGAATCAATATATATAATTGCAAAAATATTGTAACACAGATAATATATCTAATGCTCATGAATTACCTGATGTAACCGCACTTTGTTGTGGTACATCTATTGCCAGTTCTTTTAATATTTGTACGTATTTAACTCTATCAATAACAGGAAGTAATATGTTCAGACCAGGTTCTAAAATTTTATGAAATTTCCCCATTCGTTCTACAATCCATGCCTAAGATATAATATAATATATAATAATAATAATAATAATATAATATTTTCCTGTAGTTTATTGATGATTCTATTAATTTGTAGAAATTTCTCTGTATTCTACAGAAATTTTGAACAGCAACATATTTCACACAAATTATAAATGTGTCATGTGATAGACAATTGCAAACCTGTTGTTGAGGGACGAACATTATGATGGTGTTTATTGGTGTTAAGGGCCTGTAGCGAGAATGTTGAACCGCCGAACCAAACATTTTACTTCCTATCCTCGCAAACGCATGATCCTGCAAAATATATATTTTGTAAGTTTTTAGAAAATTAATTTTTTTATGTTAAACTTACTTTGAGAAATCCTAGGTTTTTCGCCAATACCATCGTACCACCAGTTGCTACACGTTTATACATTTTTAACAATATTAAATTTAAAAACTATAACAATTTAAAGTAAATTGACAATTTTCTGCAAGTTATTGTAGTCAGGATAGGAGCAATGCGGTGCCTGTGAAAGATAACTTGGATTACCCGTGATTGTTCAGCATGAAGAAAGCACTCGTCGTGACAAGGATAGAACGAAAATACTCTGCAGGGAATTAGTAGATAGGTTTATTTTTCCTAGCAACTCCACATTGCGCTGTTTATATTTAAGATAAATGAGTCGTACATTTGACATTTAAAAAGAAAGAAAAAAGGAAAGTCAGATGAGGTAATTTAAAAAATGCAGCTATAACGAACAGATATATTTTAGTGACTTCTTGAAGAATTTTACAGGTCCCTACCTAACAACCAATGAGCGAATTCGATATTCCATATGATGGAAATTACATAATTCGGGTGCGGTTCTTCTGATATCGCAAATTACAAAAAAGTTGCATCATTTTAAATGCGCGAGGCGTAGAAAATAATAAATGCAGTGATAAATAAATAGTTTTTGTCTACATATTAGTCACGTTAAATATTTTCCTTTTATATTTACTTGATTATTTATATTCTCTCAATTCAGAGTGAAACAAGTATATTTCCTTTTGTTCTAACTTGTTGCACCAGTGTACGCTAGTTCAGAAATTTTTCGGAAACGAACGGACTCAGTGTGACGTTTTAACGAACTATAAAAAAATATTATTAACGTTCGAATTCTTTATTTCCAATAGATGGCGCGAGTCGTCGTTCCCCCTCTATCGAGATTCTTTCCCTCTTGTTGACCGCCAACCATAGCGGTTCGTTGCTGTCTACCTACACACGTGAAGACTTGCCTTGTCATGCATACGCCGGTGCGCGCCATCTTTGACGCCGCCAAAGAAGCGGCCGTCGCTGTCACCGGATGCCCCATTTAGCCGCCCTTCTCGTTCTCTCTGAGGCGCATTTTCAATAAGAACACTGTGATCGTACGAGATGTGTTTTTTGAGTGTGTCAAGTGTGTGTCAAGTGTAATTTTTCGTGTGACAGTGAGACCCTCGTCGATCGCGAACGCCGACATAACGGACCGTCTTGCAGGTGAGCGATCCTCGTTCGTATATCGTGCGCCGTGAGGCTGTATTTCGCGCACGTAAAAAGTACCACGTATAATTGCATGTATATATATATATATATACATACATATATGTATATATATATGGTACATATATATATATATATCTCTCTCTCTCTCTCTCTCTCTCTCTCTCTCTCTCTCTCTCCGTTTCTACGATGTGTATATATACATGTGTACATAATGCATGCTCATGTATATATGCTTGGTGCGTATGTACATATGTATATATGTATGCATAATATGCGCGTCGATCGCGAAACGAAGCAACGCCGCGGCGAGACGCGGAGTCTCGCATGCAGAAGCGACCTTAAAGGAAGTCGGCTTATGTAAGATGACCATGCGGAGAAGCCGCTTTGTCGTTTTACATTTCCTCTGCCGACGTGCCAAGCTACCATATTGCATTGGCGGCGCGCTCTCGCACGGATCGGACAACTCTCGCGGAGCGAGGCCCTCGCAGGTCCGCCGATGTTGCAGCGCTGAATGGAGAACGTCGCAGTCGAGCAGTCGCGGTTTAGCGAAAATCCAGAGTGCGAGAGGTAGATGCGCGATGCAAGCGTTGCATTCGATCGATCGGGACGGATATAAATATAGAGCCGCGCTACCTGTTGTCGTCGCCGGCTATCATCGCTGCATGCAATTGCAATATGTTTTTTTTTTTTTCGGACCTCAACGTCCGAGGATACGCACGCACGTACGCTTCTATGTAGGCCGAGAGACCTAGCGGAGGTGCGAATACGCTGATAAACGGATCTAGACACGACCCATGGTCTTTGTGGGTGCACCGAGCTGAAGAGAAAGTTCTAGGCGTGCGCGGACGTGCTCCGGCGTAGCGTATCGTGGTGTTTCGTTGCGGACGAAACGGCATCCGGGATTTGCGTTTTCAGTCGCAGAACGAGAACCCCGGGGATTTGCCATGCCGGCGATGTTTCGCAATCCGTCCCCCCCTCCTCCTCCTCCCACGCCCCGGTCGCTTCTCTCTTCCTTTTTTTTTCTACAAAGGACGAAAGTCGTCCTCGCGCCATTCATCGCGCTAAATTCCGAGCTTACCCGAGCATAGCACAAAACTGGGATATCCTAAAAACATAGGGATGTCCTCAGGACGTCTTTAGGACATCTGTGGCTATGTGGGCGGACACGAGACCAATGATGAGTCTTCAAATTTCTTCTTTTATTGCCCAAGACGAGATTCTTCAACCTTCGAAGTTTGCTCGTTTTCGGAGAAACTTCTGAACTAGTGCACAAAGTGCAAAATAGCGCAAGAAGTTAGAGGCGAAAGAGAGAGGGAAAGTATATATACTTGTTCCACTCCAACTTATTACACCGGAAGCTTTTTCGAAAACGAGCAGACCTTCGGTCTGTGAGCCGATCGTATTTACTCGCGACGACGGCAACGTGAAAAGCCCGCGGGGGAGTTTTTTCGGGCCGCGGAGTACCGGTGAATTTTTTCGAAATTCCCGACGCAATTGCGCGGACTCGTGTTCGTGTGCATTTTTGCATTTTCCCTTTTCAACGTCCGCTGGCTGTCGCTGCTTTTTGATTAATGCGCCGCCGCGACATGTATTGGATTACGTGTAGATTCAAATAGCTAACGGATTTAGCGTGAACGAAGCGTATGCGAGCGTTTTGCACCGTGTATGCACTACGTGGCATGGCTGGAGACGGCGGAGCATAATCGACTGACTAGCGGAGGAATCGATTGTTTCTTATCCTCGCGGGATGAAGACCGGGATATATACGTGGATTCAAACGCGGGAGATCGCGCGTATCAAGAGCAGGAGAGATAGATAGAGAGAGAGAGAAAAATATTCGATACGACTGATGCTCCGAAAGGCGCTGCGCGAAAATAATCTGATCTCTCGTCGCCAGCAAAACAGGTTAGGTTAGATTGAGCGCGCGCGGTTAGGAAAGAAAGAGAGAAAGAAGGACGCAGAGAGGTTAGGTCGCTACCGAGCGGTACAATAAAGGATGAATCGTCGTCGGTCAGCCAACGGTAATACTTGTAACTAATACTAAATTTATCTTATCTATTACTTACATACACACACATACACACACACACATATACAGATAATATCACATACGCGCACGCAATAATCGGTGCGATAATTCCGGTGGAAAATTTGACAGATTTTTTCATCCATTTGATGTTTCCTACCAGATGTTCATCGATGATGATTAACGCTTTCAAATTTCGATCGTGTCGATTGTTCCTGCTGGAAAATGGAGGAACAAACGATCTTTGGCTGGGATCACCGTCAATAGAGAATTTTTGCTTTCAGACGAACGGAACCGGTTCAATTAGACCATTTCATTTGAGCTGCGCAGCAGCGTGAATGAATTATAAGCTCTAATTTCGATCTCATTTATATGGAAAGCGATCTGCACGTTTCGCAAATTGAATTTTCAAGCAAGACGATCGCGTTTCGCGCTACTTATGGCGTCCAAATGAAAGATAGGATTCCGGTCTGCTGAATTGATCGCGCACGAATCCGTCGAGCTTTCCGTCGGATTTAAGAAGCAAACGTTGCTCAAAAAGTTTATCAGCTTCTGTCGTATCGAAAAATTCCGGAAGTTCTTTCGCAGCACGCTCGAGTGCTGATGCTCAGACGGATGCGTCCATAAGCTCTCTTAATTCTGGATCTTAAGGAAAGTCACGGTATTTTAGCTGTAGCGGGACTCACCGAGAGAAGATAACTGGCGATATATCACCGCGGGTTTGCGAGTATTTTGGAGCTCTTTAAGAATAACATTGTCCCACGGATGCGTGTTTATTGCGCATACATGTCGCAATCGCGTGTATATTTCCGCGGCAGCATCGCTCGTGTCGCGGAATTACGGTAATGCTATCGCGCGGTAACCTCACACGCGTATACACACAAAGGATGTTACACACCCCTTTGCCTTAACGGTTTACCCCGGTAATTAGTATCGCGTATCACGTTCTGTTCATCCAAAAGAAAAATGTAAAATCAGGTCGAGGGAGAAAGAGAGAAAAGGAGTTGCATAAAAAGTAGTTTGAAGAAAAAGTCGAGCTTAATATCCGCGTACGATCCGGAATAATTGCTCGTCGCTCGAATACGAATTATCCGCGCAATTCGAGTCTTAACACTCGCATATCCGAGTCCATCGAGATTCATTGGTTTACTCACGACAATGGCGGGAATCGATGAATCGGATACAGAGAGCTAATTGCGCGCGGATTTACCTCGCTCGTTTTTCTCGGCGTTCATTAATATTGCAACTTGTTATTTTTGTACGCGGAATCTTTTTATTCCGTCGTCGATGGCCAACAGCTGCCGGACGTAACGTAGCTTTGTCTTTTGTTGATTTTTGTTTTTAATACGGTACGCTGTATTTATTCTCCCCATCATTGTGAGGGAAATTGGTGACACTCGCAAGCGATATATAAATAACGCACGTCGTGTAACAGATTTACGACTAATGCGCATATGTGTGTGTGTGTGTGTGTTTACTATTAATAATTATTATCCAGGAGACACACAACGAGAAAGGAATTCGTGTCGTGTGTGTGCGTGCAACGAAATTGCACAATTATGAGAACCAACACGACAACGCTACATTGTCATCACGGTGATCCACGCAACTTGACTTCCTTTCATCTACATTTGTTTAGCAATATGCCGATAACTAGCGAAGCTGGCTAAATCGGCAACGTTTTCCGTTCTTGAAAACATCATCGCATATCGTTCTCGATCGGCTGAACGTAACGCTTGAATCTGCTTGAGAAAAACGCACTTTTGATGACGCGACTTTGCCGTCTTAGGCGAAAAAGATAACAAGCACAAGCCGCGTTTAATCTCATTCAAGTGAGTCAACGAGGAGAGAGGTTAGAGATAACAAAAATTCTAATGGCACTGGTCTTATGAAGACCCATCGACCCAGCCGGATCTCACTTTACACCTGGTGAAACCTGCTCAGAGATTCAGGCGCTTAGACTCGTATCCTGTTAGGGGTCCACCAGCGGCGGACGAGCTAGACTTCATCATGACCCTGTTGAATACCCTGTCATATGACAATATATGAACTCTGTCATTCTCTGTCAAACAGAGAATGTCGAGCTTGGACAAGACAAGAAGAGAGAGAGAGAGAGTGATCG